TCTATCTATCTATCTATCTATCTATCTATCTATCTATCTATCTATCTATACAACATTCTGCCTGCACACCAGATCTTACTATAGATGGTTCTGAGCCACTATGTGGTTGACTGGGAATTGAACTCAGGACCTTCCGAAGAACAGCGAGTGTTCTTAACCCCTGAGCCATCTCTCCAGCCCCCACTCTTGAAATGACCACTTACCATCTCCTTCTTTCTTTGATGTTATTTATTATTATTCTTCCACTTTAGGATAGCTTCATTTGCATGGTGCTTAGTGTTTTGTCTGATGCTTGCACATCCGTTGATGTCACAGCAAGCTGGTGACACCCACTTTCCAGAACAGAAATGGTCAAAATGGAAGACGGGGCTTCTGGGGGCGGAAGTGGTTTTGTCACCAGTTTCCTGGGGACCTCTGTACACAGGAAGTTACCCTCTATAAATGAACTTAGCGCACATAATATGTCAAGGTCAGATATGAGAGATGAAGGTAAAAGCTACAGACCTTTCCCAGAAATGTCCCAGCCTCATGGGAGAGGCAGATATGGAAACCAAGAGCCATAGTACACAATATATAGTCTCTCAAGGTGATATGAGAGGAGGGGCCATCTGTGCCTGGGATGTCTTAGAAAAGGTGGCGGTGGGTGGGAGTGTTCCCACCAGAGAGAGAGAGAGAGAATCCATGTCTCTGTCTACAATGGCATGTCTAGGCAAAGCTGTACGTGGATCTGAAGTGTTTCTACACAGCCTTAATCATGTATTAATTTATGAATGTGCAGATTGTCAATGGCTTGGCTATAAAGAGAGAATTACTCTGGATTCATACATGCCAGAGTAGAATCAGGCCAGCCATGGTTTGAGCCTCCTCCTCCCCATCCAACTCCCAACACCAGGGTGACCAGAGGCATTGGACACTCCTCTCCTAGCAGCTGTGCCTTCTAGAGCTCAGGTGATGAAACCCACCACAGTTTTCAGTCCATCTGCCCAAACGTCTAATGGAGCCAGGCAGCTTGTATGCATGCTGGAGAGTGAGGAGGCACATGTATCTGAGCGTGCACATCTGTGTGCATTTCTGTTGTGTGTTAGTGCTTAGTGTCGGCTGCTGCTAGCCAGGCTGGGAAACCTCCTTCCCCACAGCTTCTCTCCCCACCCTCACAAGCCCTGCAAGGGAAGGACTTACCTACTCACCCGTTTCTGTTGCCGCCTGCTTGAGGCTGGCTTCTGCCTGGACTTGGGCTGAGCGGTAGTGAGGCTGAGCTGCATTGGTGCCATATCCTTGGACTCAGTTCCTTCTCTCCTACCCTGCCAGAGCCTATGTGAACAAAGGTAGACAGTGCATGTCACAGCCCTGAGGAACCCAGAAGGATGCTCTCCAGGTAGGTGGCTCCATGCCCCTCCCCTGAGGAGAATACCTCTATATAGGTGATTATGGAGAGAAAGCAAAGACTCTCCTCTCCACACACATTCACCCAGGAATAGGGAGACAGGAGGATGGCTATAATTCTCTTGTTTTCTTTAAGCCTGATCAATTAAAAAAAAAAAGTAGCTGGGTGTGCTGGTACATGCCTTTAATCCCAACACTTGGGAAGCAGTGACAAGCATGTCTCTAAGGGTTTGAGATCAGCCTGGTCTCCATGGTGAGGTTCAGGCCAGCCAGGGCTGCATTGTAAGACCTTGTCTAAAATACCAAAATAAGTAAATAAATATAATAATAAATAAATAAGTAAGAAGGAGAAGAAAAGAAAAAAAGGAAACACAATTGACGATGTCACTGGTAATACGTACTTAAAAGCGAATACAAATTTGCTATTGACAATTGATAGTGACTAACAGCAATTTTTCCTTACTTTTGCAAAATATGCAAATTTGGGACTGGAGGTCATATAAGGCAAGAGCACTGCAGGCTGGAATGCTTTATTTTCCACATTGTAGCAAAATGCACTGCCACCCAGCTGAATGCGTCCACTCACGGGTAAGACAGCAGGAGTGAAGTGCAGTAATTGGCATGCAGCGTGTCACATTTTACAGCAAATAATAGACAAATGAATAAACGGCTGAAGAGGAAAATCAAACATAACTTACAAACTAGAATTGTTTTATCTAGCGGTCTCTAACCTCTTGGTTTGCCAATTCTGCAAATGACTTAAATTAATGTATCAAAAGTCTTCAAAAACACCTACAAGTTGGTCTCATAGAAGAACATTTCTCCAAAACATCAATACCCTTAATACTCATGACTAAAGTATCTTTTAAAAGACGCCTTCACCTCTGATAAATGTTAGCATTTCCTATCTTGAGTACGTCACCATACTTGGAGCATCTTAGTATGTTTCCACCTGCTGAGCACAACTATTTTCCTAACCACTGATAAAAGATACCGGCTTACAAAATGCACGAGGAATTTCCCTTGTTCCTATAGTGTTTACTTGCGCTTAAGCAGTGCATCAATAATCTGAAAACAAGAAATTGCCTGCGTGGCCAGAAACTGTTTAGATGCTAGGGTTTCTATCATGGACTGCTTTCAACTGCTATATTTTATGGCACAGATTCAGTGGGAATCTGATCTGCTAAAATATTTGGGCTGTGAAAACTCCCACACTGTGACAGATGTCAAGTCCAATTAAGTGACTCATGTCCAGGTTTCTGTCCAATAGGATTTCCCATTAAATATCAATTTAGGGGGAAAATTCCATCCCCCTTCTTAAGCCTTTATCTCTTCCACCATCTCCAGGCTAAATCAATTGGTACCAGAGGAGCCAAGAAACCGCACAGGCAGCCGCCTCTTCGCTCCGGCCCTCCCAACCTCTCTCTGCTTGCCTGTCAGTGTTCCTCAGGAAGACGGTCACTTCTCAGCAACCTCTCTCAAGCATCTCCAAGCTACTGATTATATACACATATATGTTACCACAAGGTAAAGAGGGGAGGGAGTCGGGCAGGGGAGGGGGTGTAGCCAAGCCTTGAAAGACTTTGAAACTGTGAAATAGGAGTCCGTTTATGCATCTTATAAGCTAGTGAGGGACAAGACAGAGGCGACCTTAAGCCCAGTTACCCGTATTGTGTTGCTGGGAACCGGGGAGACATCAGCTGAACAAAGCATTATCTTGAGGGGGAAAAAAAAGAAAGAAAGAAAGAAATCACTTCTGAGCCCCATCCATTCCTGCCCGCACTTGGCAGTTTCCTCCCTGCCCGATTAAGGGAAGGGAAGGAGTCCTCAAGGAATGGAATCCTATCTTAACCATCTTTCTTATTGATTATTCCGCTATTAGAAAGTGGAGGAATCAGCCCTTTGATGTGACCGTGTTTATCTCTGCGTCTCTTTTGTTACTTTATAGAAGCCTAGGACCGGGGGAGGAAGCGCGCGAGACCTCATCACTTCGCCTTAGAAAAGATCAACAACGAAATTTCCGAAATGTTTAAGAACAATTAAAAAAAAAGAAAGAAAGAACGGGCGTTTTCAATCCGTCAACTAAGTGAGCAGTCCTACCTTCCACCCCTAAGACAGCGCCGCTCGCCGTGGCGGGCTGCGAGATGACAGCTGCTCTTTCATCTGTGAACGTAATAAATAGTGGCTGCTTTTAATATTTGCCAGGATCTCTCCTCCTTGTTCCCCTGGAATTTTAACTCCAAAAGATTGGCGAAAAGATTATCCGCAGGGCTTTTGCAAGGTAAGGCATCTCTGCGTCTCTCTCTCTCTCTCTCTTTTTCTCTTGAAATTAAGTTGATTCATATTGCATTTTATAGGAGCATCCCCACTCACGGTCACGGTCATGGCCACGGGAAGCACCATCTAGGACTATTTAAATACCTGGAGAATTTAAAAGCGTGGAGGACAGCCCGGGAACTTTTTGTCCGATCTGTAAACTACGTTGTGATTTTTCTCCCTGTTGTATCTCTGCCCCCTTCGTGCCAACTGCGTAGCTTGTTTCGCTCATAGACGTAGCGAAAAGCCCGCGGGGGACCGCCAGCGGTTCGTTTGGCCCATTTGTTGTTATTCCGAGGATCCGTTTTCCTTGCACGGAAAACTGTCTCCGAGCTCCGGTCGTCCCCGGTCGCTCCTGCGCAAGTGCAGGGCCAGGAGCCGAACCCACATCCCCGGGCTTTTGTTCCTCCGGAACGAGCCCCTGACGGGTGGTTCGGAGCCTCGCCGGCCAGGGTCACACCGGGCCCTCCCAGCAGCCGAGGCCCGAGCGCTCAGCCCCGGCGGGTCCCCGTGCCCACCCGCCCTCCCCGACCATCCCTCGAGCCCGGCGGCTCCCGAAGACGCGCGGCCGGGGCCCTTCCTCCGGGCGCTCCGGAGCGGCCGGCCCGAGGTGGCTCTTCCAGGAGGGCATCTTCTGGGGACGCGGCCGGGCCTCCCCGGACCGGCGGGGCGCCGCGGGGCTCGGGTCCCGGGAGCTCGGGGGCGTCCCTCACCCCCCGGCCGCGGGGTCCATCCCTCCCCTCCCCTCCCCTCCCCAGCCTGTCCTTCCGCAGCGACCCGGCGGCCTGCGTTCTCCCGGGAGGTGGTCGGCAACCTGCCGGGCTTTGTGTGACTCGTGTCCCTAGGTCCCCAATGTGTGTGGCAGGCTGCGTGACAGATGGTGCTCCGGGAGCGTGCGAGGGCCGAGGAGTCAATTTTCTTTTGAAAGGGACCGAACACATGTGTTCGGTCATTTCTTTATTATTTCGGAGAGGGACCGTGCTGGGGGGTTGGGTGGGAGGGGGACACACACCGGAGCCTTTCCGTCTCCGGCCCGGGGTTCCAGAGTGGGGTTCGCCCTCACCCGAGCGCAGCCCAGACCCCCCGGGCGCTGCGAGTCTCCGGCTGCCTGGCCCCGGGGCCCCTAGGGCGACAAGGACGCTCCGCGTCTCCATTCAGACCCGGAGGCATCCGTCCTTCGGGCTCTCTCGCGTGTCTGGGAAGGGGCCGGGGCCGGGGAGGCGGGATGGAGCAGCTGATGTTTGGCCAGAGGAGGCACAAGATGCCAGCCGGCCCCGCAGGCCCGTGGTCGCTCTGCCGCCCCAGGGCCACCGGCCGCCTCTGTCGCCTGCAGGCTCTGGTGTGGGGCTCGGAAGGCGCTCAGGTGGCCAGCCCCTTGCCTCCCCACGCTCGCGGGCCTGGTGCGCGGCGTGGACCCGGAGGACGCGGGCCCCCTCGGAGTCCGGGCTCGCTAGGCCCCCGCCCGCCACCCTTCATTGTAAACCGAGCGTCTGGTTCCTTTGATTGACAGACTTTCTGACTCTCCATCAGCCTCCAAAATGATGCTGAGTCCGGACCAAGCCGCCGACTCGGATCACCCCAGCTCGACGCACTCGGACCCGGAGTCCCTGGGCGGCGCCGACGCCAAGGTGCTGGGCAGCGTGTCGGACCTGGAGCCGGTGGAGGAGGCGGACGGCGACGGCAAGGGCGGCCCCCGGGCCGCGCTCTACCCGCACCCGCAGCAGCTGAGCCGCGAGGAGAAGCGCCGGCGCCGGCGCGCCACGGCCAAGTACCGCTCGGCCCACGCCACCCGCGAGCGCATCCGCGTGGAGGCCTTCAACCTGGCCTTCGCCGAGCTCCGCAAACTGCTGCCCACCCTGCCCCCGGACAAGAAGCTCTCCAAGATCGAGATCCTGCGCCTGGCCATCTGCTACATCTCCTATCTCAACCACGTCCTGGATGTGTAGAGAGGGGGACGCCGCGGGAGGCCGCCGGTCCCGGCGTCTGCCGGAGGCGACACACCAGGATTGTGAGGCCGGAGGATAGCCCAGAGACACCTGGACGCGGGGGGAAAGCTTGCAGCCTCTGTTTTTTCTGCTCAGCGAGGAGACAGGGAAAGGTTTTCGAGCCTGGGAGGTGGGGTTGAGTGGAAAGAGCTGGGACCTGCAAGGTTAGTTTCTTGGCCAGAAGAACCTTCTGGAGGCACCTAGAAGGAGTTGCCCCGGGGCCTTGGGTGTGTTAGGATCCCTTTAAGGTGATTGCTTTAACGCCCTGGAGACCTCGAGCTCCCCTATGTCTATAGTCACCACACATCTTCATGTTCTGAAAGAATGAGGGCAGCTCATCCAGGCTGACGGCTTCAGACTAAGCCTATCTAGGGGTTTTCTAATTGACAAACCACTAAGCTTTGGGGAGAAAGAAAAAGAAAAAGAAAATCTTTCCCATACAGAGATTAAGACACAGAAAGGTGTACCAGCAAACTTTTTGTTCCTTTGACAAATGAAAAACTACATTGGAGAATAAATCGGAATCATTGGTGAAGTTACAAGAAAAGGATACATTCAGAACAGACAGGCACACGGTGAGAGGATTTGAGCTTGGTGAGATTTTAACCCCAAGATAGGACACTAAGGTAGATAGAAAAATCCGTATTTAAATGGAAAATTCAACATCTGATTGCTTTTTTTGGGCAGAGTGCCCCATTAAATATCCAAAAAACAAAACAAAAAAAACCATCTACTTGTGATCTTACCGTGTGGACCCGTAGATGCAGTTAGAGAAAGACAAACCTATTTTTATTTATGTTGGAAGAAGTAGAGTATTTTTTTCAAGACATTTATTTTTCAGAGTGGTGATAATTTTACTTTGGATACTCTGTGCCAATTTATTGATGGTCAAGTGTTTACACTTTTTTCCCCGTGAAATGATTGCGTCGAACTCTTTCTGTGTTTGTTGAGATTATCTTGTGGTCTCCCCCCCCCTTTTTTTCTGATTATATTGCACTTGTTTAAGAGAGTTCTCACTTCCCCTGTTTCTAAGCATATTTTATATATTAAGAAGTTGGTTCTTTTGTTGTGAGATCAGCAACACTAGCTCTTCACTGTTATAGTTTTATAAAAAAGTTAAGTGTTGTTATATCTTACCTGTAGTTTTGTCTGAAAAGTACTTTACAAACTGTTTTTAAGGAGAGTAGTTTCTTTGTGTGTGTGCGCGTGACGTTTGTGGTGTGGGATGATTTTAGGAAATGACATTATTTTCCTAAAAAAAGAAAAGACAAAAAGAATTCAGAACTACTTTCCTCTGTGACAACCAAAAAGAAAAGTCTATGACCTGGAAATGTTTCATGTTCTTAGCTGTGAAACTCTTAAAGTAAGAGGTGTATTTTAGAGACAAGGGAGAAAGGAAAAAAAAAAAAAAACAACACATCTGCTATCCAAAGATTTTAGTCTTTTTCAGGGTTTTTTTGTGTCTCTGTTGCTTTATATAATGCAATATTTTGTAGTGAAAATAGATATAACCTGGTTTCTACCTGACGAGTTTTTCATATCTCATGATTGGTCGCTGTTTTGCATATAAATAAAGGTATCAGATTAAAGTCCTCTTTATTTTAAGCATCTGTCTAGAAATCAAACCTGCTGCCTAGGCATGAGATATCTTAATGGATTCAATTCCTTAGAAAGGAATTAGTAAAGCAAAACAAGAAAAAAAGCAGAATATATATATATGCATACATACATACATATACATGTACATATACATATATTCATGGACTGACATTTTTGATGGTTTGATAAATTTGGATATAGCATAACCTGGGATGGTATCGATCATGTCATGTCCATGAGGAACAGCAGGGTGGTATGTATGTAAAAACATTTCGTGGATCATAAATGTCCTTTTGCTTTAAAGGAAGACTGTGTAACTATCTAACCCAAGCTCTTGGGAAAACTCAGGGCCAAGAGGGGGCCTGCATGAAGTGGCAGGGAAAAGCTGACAGCGGTGCCCTACACCCATGATCCCAGCACCTGAGAGGTGGAGATGGGAGAACCAGGAGCTCAAGGCCATCTTCAGCTATGTAGGGAAGTTGAGGCCAGCCTGGGCTATCTGAGACTCTGCCTCAAAAGGAAAAGGCAGTGAGCAGACAGGCCCTTGGGACAGCCCTCCCTCCAGTACAAGGTATGTGTTACTGAAGCTTCTAATCGGCACCCACGTTCAGCACATGACACGCTTGCAAAGGGAAATGGCCTTAAAACAACGTTAAGTAGAAGTATCATCTGGTATAAAACACAAATACTGTTTGAGCAGAATCCATGAATAACTTATAACCATATTCCTGTATGGACATGCACATGTGGACCATTGTGAACATATCACACCAAATACCTTGTTTCCATACTTTAAAAAAGTGATTACATGGAGTCTCAGTTTATGTGCATACCGTCTGTGGGCTCTTAGTATTTTTGTTTTCTCCCAGGTTTCTTGTAGTAGTAAGATTCACCAATACTTAGAAAGCAAGGCTTCATTTACTTCTTCTATCTGGAGGTGCTTGGCATGAAAGCACTTCCTGCTAAGGGTACTGGAAAGGAAACCTCTCTCTTTCGCTCCTCTCTGGCTAAGGGCTTGGCCACAGCAGCAGTGGCTGTTCAGTCTCGGGGCTGCAAAGGCCTATGAGGCCCCTGTTAGAGCTGTGCTCGTCTCTAGAGAACAGGGAGACATGACAGCTGCCGGTCTTCGGAGTCTCTCTCACCCTAGTAAATGCTCCTGTGCTAAGGAAACGTCCAACCTCTGGGAACCGTCCACATGCCTTGTCCTGGACAATGAGTTGAAATTGAACTGACTGACACAGCCCTTCCTTTTACAGCTAGGAGGGATCTGTTTACTCACTTCCTGGGACCACGTGTGTCCCTGCCCTCGAAGCAGGACAAAGGGCATCATCCCCAGGTTCACAACCCGCAGGATCCCAGCAGACGATCTTTGCAATGCCATTTCAAATTCTCCAGAGAGAGGCAGAGCACTGTGACTCTCACGAGAGCAGAGGGTGGCTGGCTTATCCCTCGAACGTAGCATGGGTCCAGCACCATGACAATGGGAGGGCTGAGAGAGGATTCTCTGAATAATGATGGTGAGATAATTCACTCTCATGGTGACCACTTGCTGAGGACATACTATGTGCCACGAAATGCCCTAGGTCCTAAAAATTGACGTCAAACTAGACAATGCTGAACGGGACACTGACAACAAATGGTTAAACCATTAATTTTTGAATGGCATTAAATGCTGTGAAGATCTGTAAAGCCAGGAAAGGAAGAAGGTCAGTAGCGGTGTGGACAATCTGCGCAACAAGATTAAGGAAGGCCTCGTGACCTTGACCAGCTCCCACAGTTGCCACCACGTGCTTTTCTTACAACCTCTTAATTTCTGGTCATGCCCATGAAAACAGTCCATACTTAAGCTACACCATCTTCTAAAGAGTCATGAGGGAAAGCTGTCACAGGGAGGATGAGCTCACTGCCTGTGTCACCCACCTTTCCCAGCTGGCTCCAGGCTGGTCCTGCTCCTGCTCCGCTCACCTCCTCTCTCTCTCTCTGCCCAGGGACCTGCTGGACTTTGCCACTCTCCACCCCATCCTGTGGACAGGCCACTGGGGCTAAATTCTTGCTTGCTCAGAGAGGGCCCCTCCCCAGTCCTTTCACTGCCTGTGGACTTTCACACATTAGGGCCAAGAGTGTCAGGAGGGGAGCACAGATGGAAAGGAAAGGCACACTGAGGAGAGAGAAAGTGGTTGGATGGGAAGGGTGGGAGGCTGGGGGAGGGTCATGGAACACCCCCCCCCCAGGCTGGGAACCTTCTCTAAGACCCTCTGGAATAGGAGGGTCTGGTAGCCATCCCGACAGAAACAGGTTTCTTTGAAGCTGAAGATGACACTGTTAACAATCTCAGATCTCTCAGTGGGCTTTAGGTTCCAAGCTTTGATGGAGAAAAACAATGGCTACACACTGGGTGTGGTCTCTGTCATCCAGACAGCCATCTTCGGCCACAGCCTCACCAAAGATTTTGCTCTTTGGCAGCTGGTTAACCTGAACCTGATGTGGGCTTCTCTACAGCACAAAGGAGGACCGAGGAGAGATAGAAATGTCAAAGGACAGGAGTGAGAAGGTTCGTGGGCCCTTCCTACAGCCCTGTCCATGTCCCCACGTGGCACAGGAGGGTAAGTAGCTAGCCTCCGTGCTGCTGGGACTTGGGTAACACCCTTACTGCTGTCATCATAGCAGTTTTCTTTCCATTTAGCAGCCAGCTCGCAAGCATGTCTGGCCAGTACTCTTTCCCAGGTTAAAATGGACTTCTCGTCTATTGTTATTAATACTGGTAGAGATCTCCAGAGGTTGCGTGTTGGGTGTAGACCCTGGACATACTGAGAGCAACATTCTGAGTGCCATTGCTTCATGTCATTCCCACCGCTCACCAAGGTAGATACGTTCATCGTTTACATTTAACAGACTAGAAATCGAAAGCCTAAAGCAGATAAACAACTTGCCGAGTCAGTTGATTAGCAGATCTGTCCTCACTTGTCACATTGTACAGATGCTCACTGACATCGGAGTGGCCATGCCATGTGCACACCTGCCCCTTGACCCCTGGGCAGACAGTGTCCATTCATGTACTTAGGAGATGCCTCGACTCAGGCAGCACCTGGGGACTGCAGGGACTTCGATGCACAGGGCTGCTTCATTCATCTGCGGGATGAATGTGTGGAAGACAGAGCAGCGCCCTGCCCTTAGCCATGCCCAGCATACCCTAACGTGGGGCTGATGGATCTGGAGGATTTTTTTTTTAACTTTGTAAGGTGACCCAGGGAGGAGTTTGCAGTCACACTGACTGCTGTCCCTGGCTCTGCTGTTCCTTCCTGGCTTTCAGTCTTCTCTCACCACGCACCCATCCTCACACTGGCTCTAGAACCAGCTTTTAAAATTAGTGTGGCATTCTGTTGCCTAAAATCTCTCAGTGCCCTTGTGTGTGTGGGGGGGAGGGGGATGAGATTCAGTTATGCTCTAGTTATAGAAATAACTTCATAACTTTGTTCTAGGCCTGTGGTTTTCAACCTATGGGTTGTGAGCATGGAAAAACACGTATTTCCAGTGGTCTTAGGAACAGACACCACTCAGCAGCAAAATTGCAGTTAAGAAGTAACAACAAAAATAAATTTATGGTTGGAGGTTTCCAAGACGGTTTGAGATACGTTTTTTTAATGGTCTTGACACACAGGTTGAGAACCAGTGTTCTATACTCCTTTAGCACCATCTTTAGTCACTCTTTTTTCTTTCTTTCTTTTTTTTTTTTTTTTTTTTTTTTTTTTTTTTTTTTTTGGATTTTTTGAGACAGAGTTTCTCTGTGTAGCCTTGACTGTCCTGGGTTGCTTTGTAGAGCAGGTTAGCCTCGAACTCTTAGAGATCTGCTGCCTCCGCCTGAGATTACAGGCATGTGCCACTGTGCCTGGCTCAGACACTCTTTTTAAGGTTAAAAATTGCTGCTAAACCCAGATCTACACACACACTGGCACACAGGCACCATGTGCAAACACATACACATGCCCTAGTACGCCTGGTCCTTCCACACCCAGGCCTTTGCACCTCCACTGTGATCCACCTTACACAGAGATACCCCGCTACTGCTTCCCCCATGTCTTCAGACAGCATCAGACGCTCTGCTCTTTGGTTCCCACTTGTAGACTTCATCACATGAGAATTCGCTGTTTCTCTTGTCACTGCGCCAAGACTCTAGAACCAAGTTCAGATACTGACTGTGGGTTAGTCTTTGACCTGGTCGCCAACCTCTCATGACACCTATTTTATTTTTTTAAGTTTGAAAACATATATATGTGTATGTGTGATGATATCTGCAAGTGAGTGTAGTGTTTGCAGAGGCCAGAAGAGGGGGCCACATCCCCTGGAGCCAGAGTTGAGCCAGAGTCAACTGGCTCCAGTCTGCTGGAGGAGCAATATTCACTCCTAACCACTGAGCCATCTCTCGAGACAGCCCTGAAAGCTAGTATTAATTTGTGAATGTACTAATAATCTGTGATCTCTGTCAACTGCATCTGCATTTGACACATTATGAGTGCTACAAAAAAACAGTCAGAAATCATCCTGATGATGGTTGACAGGGAACAGTGGAATTTACCATAAATGCATAATTTTAAATCACCTACATTTCTGACAGCCTCATTACACTACTGGACCTTCACTTTTTCTCTTTTTACGATTTCACGATTTCTCTCATATCCCCGAGTGTGGTGGCTAGCCTTATAGGTCAGGAGTACAGATGCTGGCAAAACAAGCTCATGGCAAATCTATCTTACAACTGGACATGGCCTTGACCAAATTACTTAATTCTGTGTCCTAGTTTCTCCATCTGTTAAGGGGACATAGGAGGGCATGATCTCTATTTTTTTTTATTTTAAAATGTTCTCTATCTATCCATCTCTATCTATCTATCTATCTATCTATCTATCTATCTATCTATCTATCTCTCTATCTATCTATCTGTATGTATGTGCATGTACATGCCAGTGCCAGAAGAGGGCA